TATTTTTGATGTTAATACATCTCTGGTAAATCTCCACCATCTGGCACGAACCTCGAGATATGACAAAATTATAGACTTAATTTTTTTAGCAAAAAAATATTCAAATATCGATAAAAACTCATAAAGAACTTTGATTTCAGCAAACTTACAATCAAACTGATCGATTAGACAAGAAGAACCTAATGTTACAAAATTAATCCAATTCGAGTCAAATCAAGCTCAGATCAAGTCATTAAACAACCCTTGAAAGTTTTTTTCAACATATTTAGAAGGTTATACGAAATAAGTGCCTCGACAAGATGAATCCAATGAGCTCAATATTGCTCAATTCTGGCATTGCTTAGGCATCAAATGTCCATCAAATATCGTCTGATCGAATGAAGCCCTTTGAACCGTTCGATCAAAATGGTTCATATTCCTGCATTCATTGCACCCAAAACACTATAAATAAAACTCCATTCCTCTCACGAGAAGGGGCTGGAGGCTTGAGAGAAAGTTTAAATCTTTGAGAATGAGTTAATCGTCGTTGGTCCCCGTCAACACCTGCTGATCGCCGTTGATCACCGTCAACCGCCGCCGATCGTCATTGATAATTACCGACCATCGTTGAGCACTACTGTCACCGTCAATCACCTCCGACTGTCTTCGACCGCTGACCACCGTCAATCACCACCAATCACCGTCAACCTTCATTGACCGGAAGCCGTCAATCGACGTTGTAACTTAGAAAATCAAGTAACCCTTTTTCGTCTGTGGGACAAGGGGTCACGGTCAACCACCTCCGACTATCTTCGATCGCTGACCACCGTCAATCACCACCAATCACCATCAACCTTCACTGATCGAAATTTGTCAGTCGACGTTGTAACTTAGAAAACAAAGTAACCATTTTTCGTTTGTGGGACAAAATGTCTCTGTAATCATCAACCTATGGTGAATTTTTACATCTGGGACAAGCCTTAGGGTTTTTTCCCTTTACTGTTTTTTCACGTAAAAATTTCTGGTGTCATTACTAGTTATTTTCTTTAACCTCAGTGTCTGTTGAATTCTCAAGCAACGCTAAGACGATAATCCATTACTCTATTACCGTAAATTTTCTTGCACAGTTGGATGTGACATTAACAATTTGAGTAATCTTATCTCAAATGCACCCCCAAAAAATATACATTCTTATTTTTGATGGGATATCAACAGTTTGAGTAATATTTATGTGAATGCACCCAAAAAAAATATTTTATTCTCACCATATTAAGACGGGGTTTCCACAACATACAATTAATAGGATTTAATCATTAATTTAACTTAAATCATGTCAAATATTAAAAAAAAATTAAATCCAACGCTAAGATATTCAATTTTCTCGTGTTCTTCCACTAATGTAAATATAGACTTAATAAATTGTATTCTGATGTGAATTTATTTGGTCATTTCTCTTGAACTCTTTCACCGGCCATCGTAGTATGTATTTGATAAATCTTATTTAATGTAAATTTAAGAGACTTCTCTCTCTAGATGAGTTAGCCCTGCTTTGTTCCCTTCGAATTAATTTTAATTAGTCCGAGGTTGGCACCAACCAAAAATATTTATTCTTATAAGGACATATAACATAAAAAATTCTCAAAAAATTTTGGCTACTTGCGAGCCAAAGAGCCCACGCATGAGAGATTTTAGCAAGCTTGTCTGAGCAGGTCATACCAATCAACGTCTCATTATATTTTCTAAAGCATTTCTGGTATAATTTGTGCTGCTATAGTTTTCAGCCAGATCTTATTGATGATGATATCATTCACTTTGTTAAATTTTTTTTTTTTGCTAATTATTGGCTATATGATGTCAGAGTTCTGGGAAACTGTACTCTTTTGTTATATTTTTTTTACTGGGCATAAAAGTTGGAATGAATAGTGATATAAATTGATTTATAAAGTTATGTTTGGGCGAGCTATGATGTTTCAGCAATCCCCCGTGTTTGAGGCTCAACTGGCTGTTGTGTGGCTTTTTTGGTTGTGTTTGGAAACGTTCATAAGAAAGTGATTAAGAGGGAGATAGAGAGAGAGCAACAGTTAGACATGTAGAATGTGTTTTTATTCATAATATAGATCTATTTTTATAGATTTAGGTCCCGACATTATAAAAGTACATATTATCCTCCTAATTATTAACTTTTCAGGACGAGCTTTTGGGTAATTATAGAGTTATTTGCATAGAATAAATTCGGCGGTCGATTCAATCGATGAGGGTTGCCAATCGCCTGACAATCCTTGGTTCGGTCGATATATAGTTTGAAATAGTGCTAATCGTTGATCGTCCTAAAGGTTGACAACGGGGCTTTCTCTGGGCGCCTTCTGCCGATCGTTCGGATAAGATGCTTCCTGCGTTGTACTCATGTGGAAACGATCATTGGTAGGCCTTCGCTCGGTCATTTGCAACTCCTTGAGCTGCCCATTTCTAATTTTTCCAACATTATGTGTATAGGTTGATACTAATTTTTGCTTCTTTTTGACAACGTCACCAATCAAAACTTATTCATTTCTCAGCATAGATAAAGTCTATGATTAATACTAGCCCATGTTACCTTTTTGAGCCCGCCTTCTGCTACTTATTTTGCCTTTTTGCTATTTCTCCTTTTCTGATTTATAGTTCTCACATGTATTTCAAGGTCCTCATGTCCAAATGGGTTTTGAAATGCGACCTTATTTTTTTTAATCACCGCGCCGACACATTTTTATGTGTTATGGTATGACTCATATACCATATCGGGACAGACGCTGGATCGAAGTTTTATTTAAAGTTAAGGCTGACCGTGACCTTCAATTTTCTAAAAAAAAGGTTATGTCAATGAAACAAGGAGAGTAGATTTGTGGGGTTTAATACAAATTTTCGTTCTTTTAAGTTTTGTCATGTTCAGTTAAATAACATACTTTCAATTGACATAGTATGTGTGTATCTTTTTGCTTTATTCTATTGATTTGTAGTTTAATTTTTCAACTAAGAAGTCATGAATTCAAAGTCATATACATAGTGTTTGTTTAAGCTTAAATATGTCAAAATCTATAAAAAATTATGACTTTCATTTAACTTTAGTACATTCAATGTAAAAATTTATAATTGTTATTTTAACTTTTAGCACAATCAATATAAAAAAATTAACACTTATAATAATAATAAGGACAATTTGTACTCTAGAAAGAAAAACAAGTCATATGAAATGCATGAGTATCTACTTTTTCATTCTACTTTATCTTTAATAATTGGGAGATTAAAAATAAAAGAAAATTTTTATTAATAAAATTAACATTTCTTGTTACTAAAAACTTAAAACGAGTAGAAAGAACTAAAAGAAAAATTAGTTTAAGGGTAAGATGTCTTTCTATAACTTTAAAAAAACATACATAAATAATGTCTATAATTCTTTTATTAATCCTATTAATAATTAAGTTTTTTTAGCCTTGTGCTTAGTATATATTAGATCACAAAATACAAAATATTATTATCTCTATTTGAGCCATTGAAAACTTTTCCCTATAGCTTAATACTCTATTGAAGAATACTTCTCTTCTTAGAACTGAATACTTCTCTCAATTCCAAATGGTTGTTGATTGTTCAATCTAAGTACCCCATACCCCCAAATTATCCTCTCAGTTTGGGTAATGACCAGCCAAATTTGATCGAGAAGATATTCACTAAACTGAAATTTTCAATATTTTGTTGAGCTAAAGTTAAGTAAACTAAAATTGATCTCAATATATAATTAAATTTAAAAATGACTTCAATAAAATCTATTAATTTTATTAAGCATTTATTTAATTACTTTTTAATATATAAATTATTCTTATGTTCCTATTATTTATGTATTAAATCATAGATATTCAAGGCAGATCAAATTGATTTCTATATAAAAATTTTAAACTCTAATAAAGATGAAAGACATATCATTGAATCATGATTTATTTGTGGATTAAGCTATAATCCTATTTAACATAGAAAAATAAAGAAAATAGCGGGGTGGGCGCGGGTGGGGAAGTGGCGTGGTGGTGGTACACGATAGGGTGAGATCCCACTAAATGCTCAATGAAAACATTGATTTAAGACCAAAATCTCTTAACCTTAGATCTCCTTATGACCACCTATTTATAGGCGAGGGTTAGTGTTTTGAATGTTATATAAAAGATTTTAAAATGAGCTACAACAAAGAAAATTGTTTAATTTATGTAGAAGTATGAGAGCCTTCCAACTTAGATTAATACTAAGTTTGTAGGTTTGGGTAAAATTGCTGGTTACTCTTGTAGGAGTCGTCGAATTGTCATTGAGCCTAGGCGATATTCTGAGCTGGGTTGATTCAGTGAGCTCATTTGATAAGTGATTCTTAAGCTTAGAGCCCGACTCTCATTTCATCTTGTATGGTGAGTCCATCTTTATTATAGAAGATACAGCTACCTTAAAATTGACTGCCAAGACCTCCTTGAACACGGCTCAGACGTTCATTTTGAATTCAATTTGAGAGCATACTTTTATCTTTTGACTTGATAAGTTCTCTCTATCCAGCTTAAGCCAGTCTCCCCCTGAGCTCCTGAGTGTATAAATAATAATAATAATAATAATAATTTATGTCATACTTAATTTATGAATTGAAAAAAATCATTTTATTTCTCTTTAATTGCTCTAAAGATAAGAAATTTAACGTTTTCTTCTTTTATTTTCTTAGGGGCATTTACATACATACCACATAATTTCTATGTTATGTAAACTTTAACTATTATATTTATAACATTTAAATCTTTTATCTCACAAAACATAAAATTAAATTAAATTATTAAATATATAAATACATAAGAATTATGTGATATGTACTTCATAAAAAATCTTCCTTTTTTATTTCATCATCTCATAATTTATTTTTCTTTCAGTCAACAGCCAGAAACCTAATCAATCTTCTAGATTTCTCGACAGCGCAGAGAAATACCAACACAAATTGTAAGAAAAAATTCCACGAAACTTCAAATTTCAACTCCATAAGCTCAGCCATTTGAAAATAATAAGGGAGAAAAAAACCCAATAATTAAATTAATCAAAATCAGAAATTTTTACACCGAGGATCCCTCCATGAACTCTCGTTGGAAATTCCTCTCACTGAGCTCATCCGCATCCCCATGCGAAAACATTTCCCCATCCTTGTCTTCATCGCCCCAAAAATCTCTCCTTTCCAATCTCGCCTGCGCCGCCACAAAGATCATCTTTTGCGCTTTCTCCATAGCCGCCCTCGATCTCCCCTGCCGCTTCAGCCATCTCAACCACGGTACATTGCATTTGAATCCGCCGGCCGTCGCGTGGAGAAAGATAAGCCTGACGGCTACTTTGCCCAGCGTTCCGAACTCCTCGCTCAAGCAAGTCTCCCACACAAGCCGACTGCTTTGCGGATTCGCAATCTTCATCTTACCGGTGGCCGGATCGAGCTGCTTCACCTGCACCGCTTGCGCGTAGATTGGATCCATACCCTCTGATCTCCATTTCATGAGCTCGTTTAGAACGATGTGAGCTTCTTCGCGAGATGCGAGCCTTGTGATCAGCTTGTCCACGTCCTTATCTTGTTCTGGTGTTAAGCATTTGTAAGGCGGAAGGTATTTGCCGGTGGTGTCCTTAGTGAGATATAAGGGATCGAGTATGAACGCCGCCGACCATGCTGGGTGGTAGTTTTTTTTAAACCTTTTCTCGAACACCTTGTGGACGACAGTCTCATCGATGCCGTATTTGGCGCACCATGCCTTGATTTTGGACCTCAGTTCTTCCCAGAGCGGAAGGCATTGTCCTACAAGTGGCCGCTCGGATTGCATTTCTTGAATCATGTGGGTGATGAGCTTGATGAGAGAGTTGACGGCCTGGACTTCGTTCCAGAATTTCATGTCGAGGATTACGTCGGCAAGTTGGGTGGCTTCTGGGTTATCGAGGCAGAGGAGCTTAAAGGAGTCATCGTGTACAGTTCGGTGAAACGCTGCGGTCGAGGCGATGATGTCTTCGACCGTGAAGCTGCAATCGCTGCCGTTTGCATATCGAAGGAGGCTGGTGCGGCCGAGCTCCTGCGTTTGGTATTTGTGGAATATGGTTCTTGCGGAGGAATTGTTGTTGAAAAAGATTGCAACTTTGGAACATTTGGAGGCGACATTGTCGAAGACGGAGAGGCCGCGGGGGAAGTCTTTGATGAGGGTGCGGAAGCCATGGAGGCGACATTGTCGAAGACGGAGAGGCCGCGGGTGAAGTCTTTGATGAGGCTGCGGAAGCCATGAAGTTGACAGGAGAGGTTTACCATCCAGTGATGCTGGTCTTCGAGGCTGCGGAGCGCGGTGGATTTGTACCGGTCGGAGACAATTCCGGCGCAGAGGGTGGCGGGGCTGCCACCCCTGCCGCTGCTGGAGACGTTTGTAACAGCATCCCAGAGCACGTTCTCGGCATACTTGCATGGAATTCGACCGTCGGAGATGAGTGCACGGTGGAAGACTGTGGTTCCGTTGGGGAGATTGACGGTGATAGAGACGAGTGAGTCGCCACCGTTGGCGTCGGAGCTAGGCTTCCAGCCGTCGGCGGCGACCTGAAAAAACAAAGCATCGCAAATACGAACTTCGGCGTCGTAGCGAGCTTCCTCGTAACGAGCATCGAGCCGGGTGCCGGTGAGATCGCTGCGGGAGATCGAGGGGAGTCCGGCTTGTTTAAGAAAAGCGCGAAATTTCGGATGCTCCAAAGAGGAGAAGGAGATCACGCCGGCGCACTCGTAGAACCAATCGGAGAGGAAGGAGAAGGCAGTGTCAATCTGCACCTTTGAAAGTGCAGGGTTTGGAGAAGCCACGGGGCTCTTCAGTTTCTTGACGCTATCTTCAAGCATCGCGAGCGCGCCTAAGTCGTCTTTCCCGCCGGAAAGCAGTAAGTTTGGCTGCTGCGGAGATGGAAGCGGAAGAATGGGAGATGTAGATGGGGACGAGTAAAGGACTTCAATTTGGTACGAATTGCAGGAGCGTTTCCGGGATGAAGAGGGGGGTGGGAGCGAGGAGATGGGCTTCGGTTGTGCGTGTTGATAGGTGTCGCAACCACCGCTGCCGGCAGCAGCCGAAGGAGAGGAAAAATTGGGGCAAGTTCCTCGCTTTAGGTGCTCTGAAGCGGTGCGTGAGGGGTTGGAAGCAGAGAAGAGAGCGTCACAGAGAGAACATCGGAGCTTTACCGCTTTTGGGGCACCGGATTCGGAGGGGCACATTAAGATAGGTTCGAGGTGAGCCCAGTACCACGCACCCTTCCCTTTGATCGCCTTCGTTCTCACCGTCATTAGAGCTTCGTATCTCTTCCACACCGCCTTCGCCTCCATCTCCTCGACTGCAGATGCTGGTGTCGTCTCCAAGGCAGAAGTTGAGGACGACACTGCGTTCACAGTCGCCATGAAACTCCTACTGATTTCCAAATTTACTTCTTTTTCTCGATAAAAATCCCGCCTTTACCACTACGCCGACCTCGTCTCAGTACTCGGGCACTCAACTGGCATTTAACCAGAAGAATCCCGCATACGTGGAAAGGCTTCGAGTTCTTCGCCGCCATCCATGGCGGACTCCGGCGATCCTTCCTGTGATCCGAAGATTGCTGATCCTCTAGGTGATGCCGTATCGAATTTTTTATTTGGGGAAGAGGATGGGAAGGGGGAGGAGTTGGTATACGGGAGGAAGACGAGATGAGAGGAGGGCACGAGCTGCTTTGGTCTCTGCAATGAGCAGAGAACGAAAGGCTTATTTTCTATTCTAATCAAATAATTCTCACTTTTTGAGGTCGTCTTCAACGAAGCTTTTTCGAAGAGGGGAAATGTGTCTCGCGGTCTCTACTCTCTTTCTCCCTCCTCACCTGGTCTTCGTCGACGGTTGACCGACTGAGAGTTGTAGGCCCCACAGACGCTTTATAGTTCTGTTGCTGTATCTTAGTAAATAAGTATGCGGAGCTCTGCACACGGATCACGGAACATGCCAAGCTATCGGCAACTTTACATGGATTGCTTGGGCATGAATGGGAGGGTCGCCTGTGCAATTGTTTTCTTACACATTTATGGTGTTATTTCTGAGAATATATTTATGAGGGAACATATGTGCATTTATTTTCACTAATAACAACAATTGTTTGATTAAATTGAAGAACTGTGATCAATATGCATGTGAGTCATGTGTAAAAAAAAGTTACAATTGCTTGCCTTATTCCGTTTGACAAGCTTGTAAAGACTTTGGGTATTCGATTGTACAATTTTAGGGGTGATGCATCTGAAAAAGAGCTAAAGTGAATGTATACATGAAAAAAAAATGTGATAGCTTTGATCTTAAGTATTTTGAAGCACATATTTTGTGAAACAAAATTATTATTTTCTTATTCAAAATCAAGTTCAAGTAGATAATTTTGAATGCAAACTTTTCATTTTAGATGAATAATTCATACTATTTGATGGATTAAATTTGCCTATAGTGACATTTAAGGCCTGTTTCGGACAGTTTTGTGTCTGCTTTATATTTCAAATCGCTACCATGATTTTTGTTTGGGGAGTTGTTTTCTTGCTGATTTCTAGAATTTTATGTGATGGGAAAATGTTTTTTTTAACCACCAACTTCAAAAAAAGTTTTTTTCTCCACTACAACTTTATGACAACATTTTTTAAGAGTTTGAGCCACCTCAAACATATTCTTGAAACTTTACATACTCAAAATAGTGGTACATCGAGTAAGGATCAAGAAGAGAAAATTGAAAAAATAGACAAGTTGAATTTTATTTCTTGACACTTTGAAGTCCTAAGTGCTATGTTGTCCCCTTAAATAAAATTTTGACCATGTATCTATAAAATTTTTAGGTTCTATAAGATTGGGTGTTTGTTTATCTAATAAATAAATAAATGAAAGATCTGTTACAAACACACGAGTTGTATGACCAAAATATATTGATAAGTGTTGTGTGTTAGAAAATTCATGATGATAAAACAGTAATTTAATGTCTTGGCGTTTTACGATGATCCATCAAACAAATAGTTAAAATAAAGAAGAAAAAGAAGACAACATAAATTTTATGAGGAAAAACCCAAAAAGAGAAAAAAATATGGAGCTTAGTCCAGCCAAAGTAATTTACTATAAGATTATAAGTATATAGGTCAACTTTTCTCCTAAATTTAGAAAGATAAAACTACAATGTTGATAATCTAAGATATACAATTGTCATCTAGGGTTAATAGCCTTAATTAGATTACAAAAAATGTAGTTCTTGGTTATAAGGCAATAATGGGCCGCAAAGGCTGTATTTAATTGCTTTTAAATTAGTAATTAGCCATAAAGAATGAAGTCGGTGGCTACGATCGCGTCATTTGGTCACATAGGTCATAGTTGGAAGCTGTAGTAGCAGTTTACTAGATAGTTCTTAATTGGTAACTGTAGTAGCACCATTAGTCACAAATGTTGTAGTTGGAAGCTGCAGTAACACCAGTTAACCATAGAGGTTATAGTGGAAAGTTGTAATGATGATAGTTGGTCATGTAGGTCGTATTGAGAAGATATAATAACATCAGTTGATCACAAAATTTGTAATGAAAAATTATAATGACAACAGTTGGCCACGTAGGCTATAGTGGGAAGTTACAAGAATAAGTAACCATACCATAATAGGTCTCTCCAAGAGTGTCAATTTGCCACAACGACCACAGTGGAAGGCTGTAATGATAGCAATTAGTCACATAGACAATAGTGGAAAGCTACAATATTAGCTGAAACCATAGGTCAAAGCGGGTCACTACAAGTGTGTCAAGTGGCGACAGAGTCTATAGTGGAAGATTGTAATGATAACAGTTGGCCATGTAGGCCATAGTGGGAAGTTATAGCAGTAACTAACTACATATGTTATAATGGGTCACTACAAGAGCATCAGTTAGCTATAAATGATGTAGTGGAAGGTTATAATGACAACAATTAACCACATAGGTTGTAGTGGGAAACTACATTAGCAAATGACCACATATATCATAATGGGTAGCGTCGGTTGGCCACTGAGGCTGCAGTGTACTATTGTAATGATAATAACTAACTATATAAATTGTAGTGGGAAGTCATAGTAGTAACTAGCCACATAGGCCATAGTGTGTCACTACAAGAGCACCGGTTAAAGGCTGAGTGGAAGGTTGTATATAACTTTAGTTAACCACATAGACCGTCGCGTGTCATTGTAAGAGCGTCAATTGTCCACATATGTCATAATTGATAACTGCAAAAATGTTAGTCAACCACTGAGGCCGTCGTGGGAATTTGTCGTAGTAATTACCACATAGGTCATAATTGGTCACATAAATCATAATTGGAGACTACATTAGTGTTAGTTAGCCACATATGTCGTAGTTGGAGATTGCAATAGGTCCAATTGGCATAGGATTTTTACCTGCAAGAGTGTCAATCAGCCATAGAGGTTGTGGAAAGTTGTAATAATAGTAGTTGTAGTGGGAATCTATAGTAGTAACTGACCACATAGAGCAAACTGAGTCATTGCAAGAGCTTCAATTGGTTACATATTTTGTATCAGAAGACTGCAATGACATCAGTTAGCCATATATGTCGCAGTGGGAAGCTATGATTATAACTGGCCATATATGTTGTAGTTAGTGCTACACCGGTTGGTGGTTGAAACCCTTCTTTCGGGTTTATTATTTTATGCTAGCGACAACGCTTGTTGGTATGTGACATGTAAAAAACTTCAAAAGTCCAAAAAAAGTTATCATATTCTAAATATGGTAGTCATACGTAGTTGTTGTTGAGAGTTATCGCTGAATCTTTAATATATCGTTATTCGTTACACCATACTTGAGATACTTCAATACATCATATTCAAGATGCTTCATTATACCGTATTCGAGATACTTTCTTACACCGCATTCATGATATTTCGTTCAATCATACTTTGTTACTCCCAATTGAGATACTTTATTGCACCGTATTCGTGATACTTTTTTACATCGTTTTTAGAAGTTTTCAGAAGACTTCATAAAAAAATTGACTTCGCCAATTGTGTCGAGCAAGAATTGACTGACTGTGGTCGACAGGCTGTAGTCGATGGTGGTCGGTGACTACAAAAGCTATAAGTTGTCGTTGGGTCTTCAATATAGAATAACACTTGAATTAGACTCATTCTCTTTCTTTTTCAAGTGAAGAGAGAAAGTCTATTCATTTGGTGAATAACTCTTATAACCACCCGATTGGATGACGCATATTAATCCCAATTGATCAAAAAGAGATTTTTGTGATTTGAGAGCCTTAATTGACCAAAAATTAAGGTAACTTATGTTTGTTAGATTCCTCTCATTGGGACGGTCAATTTGATTATAAATATGTTAAATTTGGAGTTCATTTGCATATTCAATCTATTATCTGAAGCCTCCACATATGCTTTGATGGCTTGATTTTGATTTGATTGGACTCAGATTAAACCAATTTTGGTATCATCGGGTTCATCTTGGCCGAGACGGTCAAACTTGCAAAAATGAAAGCATTGGATAATTTTTAGTTTGGATTGGAACATTTTCTACTAAAAAAATATTTCGAGATTCATGTCAAATGATAAAGTTCTTTTATAACATATCAATAAGTATATATTGATTGTTACTTTGGTGAGTGCTTAGAAGGTCGTATTGACTGAAAAAATAGAGTTATTGCTTCACAATAGGTAGATTTCTTCCGGCCCTCTGCACAACAGCACAAGTGCTAGTAGATCTTGAATTTTTTTGAACCGAACAATTGTTATTTAAGCTTAGTTTCTCTAAATTGGGCAAATGCCATCTTACTTCAGGTGACTGCCTTTGATGGCCATTCTATCTTGATTTCTAATGAGTTCGCTCGCCCTCTTCGGCTCTATCCTGAACTACATATTTAAATATAAACGAACAATGAGCTAGGCAACTAGTTTGTGGAATGAGATTGTTATTAAAGTTTCGCTTTTTACTGAAATTGTTTTCTTCATTTTCCATAGACCTTAGACTTTGATGCATGCTAGAAGATTCACGACGGTAGAATAATAGATTATCGTCTTAGTTTTGCACGAAAATTCAACTCATACCCAGATGAAAAAAAAAACAGCCAGTAGAGACTCCAGAAGTTTTAATGTGGAAAAATTGTAAAAGAGAGAAACCATGAAGCCTGGTTCAACTGAAGAGATTAATTATAAACTGAAGATTACAAGTATGGTCACTTGTCCCACGGGCGAGAAAATGTTGTATAATCTTTCGAGCAACAAAGTTGATGCACATATGAACTTATCGTAAAAAGTGAGTGACGACCGATAGTGATTGGTGACGACCAACAAGTGATGGTTGCTGGCGGTCGACGAAGGTTGGCGACTGGCGGTCAGTGGTGATCGCTCACCAGTGGTCTGCAACAGGCGACAACTGGTGGTCTGCGGTGAAGTGACGCTAGACTTCAGCTTCTTCTCCAAATTTCAAGCTCTTCTTCAAGCTTAAAGCTCCATGTCTTATGAGAGGAGTGAGACTTTATTTATAGAGTTTCAGATGCAATTAATGCAGGAATATGAACCACTTTGATCAGACGATCCTGAGAGTTTCCTTTGATCAGATGACGTTTAATAGACATTTGAGTGCCTTAAAGATTTCAAAATTTAACAATCTTGAGCTCGTTGGATTTGTCTTATCGAAATGCTTGATTCGACCATAAGCTCACCAGATTCAACATCGGTTTGACCTTTTAAATATGTACAAAATGCTTCCAAAAGTGGGTTATTGGCTTGATCAGGGCTCGATTTGGTTCAGATTGGATCAATGTTGGT